CTGACAGCGGCCGAATGAGTTAGCAAAAGGCAGGTCAAGACCAGTCCGTTTCGGGTAGTATGGATTTCATTCTATTTTTCCTGAGAATAACAAGGATAATTGTCGGCATGGAAAAATGAATTAATCATAAACTTTTGAAAAACTGGGGTCTTAGGTCCATAAGCACAGACCTGAGTCAGATGAAATTGGACATATATTGTCCACCGATATGCCGCTGGCGTTTAAATGGGTTCAGCGAAGACCTAAGCACAAGAGTATCAAGCCGCGCTGGTTAGTAGTCTCCAAGATAATCACTTCAAAAGGAGGATGATAAAGCTAGCAGCGAAAACAGCTGTTATGGTATAAGTGTTTTCGACTTCTTCTATCCAGCAAAATCCCGTGGTTAATTATACGGCTACAATATTAGAAGTTTGAGTTTGAAAAAGTAAGAATTCCGGGCTTATAATCATAGAGCAATTTTGCTCACCGGAATGTGTTTCTTTTCGTTTCGAAAGCTGTCCTTTGTCAAAGCGAGAACTGCCTTTATCGATCAGTTGTGGCTGTGTGTATTGGCCATAGGCTGATCGATTTTTCTACGCTCCCTGCTTGGCTCTGTGCGTGGATTTTTGCGTAACCTGACGGCAACTAACCTGATAGCAATGTTCTAGGTGCAAAGGATTTATTGGTCATAGGTCACGAGTGCGGCGTGAATGCATAACTGGGCGGTATTCCGTGCGTTGACTGGGGGAGGTTACAAAACTTCATCAAAATCGATGGTCGAACACACACACACACAAGGATCCCCTCCTAAAAAAAGGTCTACGCACACACACGCCTCGTACGTTTGCCCCCCCTCCCCCAACTGTTTATAGGACCCAGCCCCTCCCAGGGCCGTGAGGGCTTCCCTTTCCGGCAGGCCGCGGGCTCTAATGGAACCTGTGACCTAGGTTCAAAGGATATAAACGCCCGCACCAGAAACTTTTCTTGCCTCGGCGACCCAACCTCGTCCCATACCCAGGCCTCGTCGATG